CGTTGGATTCGTCTCGTCGAGCCACTCGATTTGATTATAATCATGTTACGTTTACTATTTGTTTGTTATTCCAAATTAAGCTCTGAACAATTCAAATATGCTATGAACCCTATCTTTGGGCTCGGATATGGCTGGTTTTAATGTTGTTGGGTTCGTCTTTTCGGGACGATCAATTTGACTATACGTTTGTTGCAATCGGAGTTTGGATGATTCCAGATTTAATTTTGGAAACTTACAACTTAATTATACTTCGATATTCGTGCTTGATCAAGAAATTTTTTTGATGCTATACTGACATATTAATACTTGTAATATTTGAGAAGTCAACAATAGATTTGATTTCTTATAGCAATTTGGATCTGCTTCCATAGATATTATAATATATATAATAGATTTGTCGGAGAACTCTTAGAATCATAAAATTTTCTAAGTGCTTGTGAGTCAGTTGCAACATGGGACTTTTTTTTGAGAAATAAGCATTTCTCCTTAAAACTAGCAGAGTTTGACTTTTTCGGACAAAAATTTCTTAATTATAATTATTTCAACCTTATGAACCTATGATTTACGAATAAATAATAGTATTGGTTTCCTCTGATTGAAACAAATGATTCTGTCCTGACTGTCACACATCATAAATAATTTTTAGATGATAAAATTAGATTCCGTATTTTATTCGATTATTTCAAAAAATATTTTTGATCTTAAATCTAATTGAGGCTTAGTTAGGAACAATTTTTTTTAGTGTTTTCTATTGGATTTTTTTAATAAAAAAAATTCTTGAAAGCATAAAAAAAATAATAGTCAAAAGCTATTCCAAATAAATACTTTATTATACAAAAATTTCTAAGTTCGAGAAATATTTGTACTAAAAAGTTGATTTAAATGTAAGAAAACTGTCTAAAACGAAGCTCAAAATTTTTAGCAAAACATTATTATTTTAATGAGAATTGATTGATGCTCAATTTTTTTTTCATAATAGAAAGCAATCAATATGTTTTCAAGAAGGACAAAGTGATTTCATTTGGTACATGTTTTTTACTGCTTCTTAAAGCAATTTTTTAGTACAAAAATTATAACTTTTATACTGTAAAGTTGCTTTAAGAAGTACTAAAAAAGTAGTCCCAAATGAAGCCTAGGGCTTCGTTTGAGACGACCTTTTTACTGCTTAAAGAAGCAGTAAAAAAGCCGTCCAAACGAAGCCTAAATCTCAATGAAATTGCATTAAATATTAAGCCAAAACTTCTTCCCCTACTGCTAATATTTAGTTTATTATTATTATTTTTAATTTTTTTTCATAGTTCCATGCTAATAATACAAAATAATATTTCTACATCAGTAGACTGGTAACACAGACTTATTAATATTTAATAATGCAATTGTTCAAATTATAAACATTAGCATTTTATACTTGATCTATTTGTAAAAGTATTTTTAGAATTTGAAATGTATTACAAAATAATTTATTTTGAATTTAATAGTTTTTTAAAATAATTTTTATTTTTGTAAAATTAAAAAAATAGCAATCAAAATTTAAAACAAAAGTGAGTATAAACAAAATATCATATACAAAAAAAAAAAGGCTTTTGCATCACTTAGCATCACTTAATTTAAACTATGGCTTCGATTTTAATGATCGCAAAAATATTTGCAGCACTATTGTAATTGTTGTTCGTTGCAAAAATCTTACGTAGTAGTTTTATAATTATTGGGAAGGAGAGATCGAAGAGATAATTTTATTAGCAGTTCTAACTTCCACAATATCCCGAACATGTTCCGTAAATACGGGATTTACTAAATCCTGTAGTTCAATGAATTTATCAGGATATAATGTCATTGAAGTAGGCAATGAAACTTCTTTAGCGACTCTTTCAAAGGCTACTACACGCAAAGCCGAAGCAACAACAAAGAAGAAAAATGACGATGACGAATAAGCAAGTCCTAGATAAGCCTACTGATTTAGGAAGAGCATAGACAGGATAAAGAAAACAAAAAAGTTATTTGGTTTGAAGATTGTTACATAATCAAATAACTAAGGATTTGTTTGGGATGACTTTCTTATTGCTTATTAAAGCAGCTTCTGCTTTAAGAAGTAAAAAGAAAGACTTCCTAAACAAATCCTAAGTTTCTTGGCTCTGAGAATGTTTGAAGATAGTTAATTATGATCATCAACTTCATACTTTAAAATCTACTTTATTAGAACAACAAATTTGATAAATCGTACTTGCAGCCAAACAGCTCTTAAATCTTATCTTATAGATCCCAAATTGAATTCAAAATTAACTTTTAAAACATTATTAAAAATATTTTATGATGAAATTATAAATTAATATGTTTCATAAAAAATACAAAATATTATGGTCTCAAAGCTAGCTAGCTAGTCTTAAAAAATACTAGATTTAGTCATATAAAAATAATTTCTTCCCATTATAAATGAAAATCTAGAAAAGAAACTATAAAAAGATTATATATATAGTGATATGTCATCACAAAATTATCATGATCAGGCATGAATCTCGAGGCAAAAATTAAGCTGAAAATTTCAAAAATTAAATCTGGGGTCACCTGAACTCTGATTTCAGCAAACTTATAGTCAAATTGATTGCCTCGAAAATACGAACCCAACGACACAAAATTAGACTCAATCCAAGCCCAAATGAGTCCAAATCAAGGACCCGAAGCACTATTGGAAAGTTTGAACCACAAATTGAGTTACCAAACAATTTTGAAACATGAACTGCTTATAGTCGAATCGAGCGGCTCGACGAGGGAAATCCAACGAGCACAAGATAGCCGAATTTTGACATCATTAAAACCGTCAAATGTTGACGAACGGTACACGATCAAGGGATTCAATATCGACCGTCCATCCAACCACTCCCCATTTAACCTTGATCTCTCACCTATTTACAGGCCATGCCACTTCATAAATCTATAAATAGACCCCTCATTTCTCATGATAGGGGACCCAAGCAAGAAGAATAAGAGTAGGAGGGAAGAAACTCCTCCTCGACCACCGTCGGGATTTTGCCTGACTTCCACGGGACGCCGGAATTCCGCTCGACCTTATAGTGACGCCGGAATTCCGCCCGACCTCCAAGTGACGCCGGAATTCCGCCCGACCTCCAAGTGATGCCGAAATTCTACCCGACCTCCTAGTGACGTCGGAGTTTCACCTGAATACCAAGTGATGCCAGAGTTCTCCTTGACCTCCAACTGATGTTGGACTTCTACCCGAAGCCAGACCTCCGCCCGTCGCCAAGTTTCTACCCGACGTCGGACTTCTACCGGTTGTCGGACTTTCGTTGGACATCTATCTGATGCTAGATTTCTTTCCATTATTGGACTTCTACCTGACGTCGTCCTTCTGATCTTCATCGTCAGACAACAGTCCTTCTGACCTTTGCAGCCCGCCGACTACAGTCCTTCTGACTTATGTCGCCCACCGACTAGAATCCTTCCGACCTTCGTCACCAGCCAACTACGGTCCTTCTGACTTACGTCGTTCGCCGACTACAGTCTTTCCAACCTCCGTCGCCCGCCGACTAAGGTCCTTCTAACTTACGTCGCCCACCGACTACAGCCCTTCCGACCTCCGTTTCCAGCCGACTATGATCATCCTGACTTACGTCACCCCCTGACTATAGTCTTTTCGGCCTCCATCGCCAAACAACGATCTTTATGACCTCCGTTGCCCGCTGACTACGATTCTTCTGACCTCTGTCACTAGACTATGATTCTTTTGACCAAACGAACACGTCAATAATGATTCTTTTTATTCTCACCATGTAATGTACTCTATAGATGTACATCAAGCTAAGGCTTTCCCCCAATGAAGGGTCTCATTTGTAATCAACTGCATTACTAGTGGATTCATTCAAACTGGGTTAGACCCCGTGATTTTTCCCCCTTTTTCAGGGGTTTTCCACGTAAAAATATTGGTGCCTCATAAATGCTAAACCCTCTCTCTTTATCTGTGTGTTTGCGCTGGATCTTCGTGCAACGCTAAGACATTAAACTTTATATTTCTCTACCGCCGCGAATACTCCAAGACGCAACATATAGTCTTATTAAATATTAAATATGTCCATATTTCTCTTAAGGATGATATAATTAGAGCTCTCATAAACAATCCCATGACAGCTAATTAAAATATAAATATCCTTTTGTAAGGGCATCATGGTATCAACTAAGAGGTTTTGGGTTTGAGTCTTATATATGTGGTGTGTATATGAGTTTGCCTTAGGCTTCGTTTGGGCAACTTTTTTGCTTCTTTCTAAAACAACATTTTAGTATAAAATTTTTTTGAATTAGAAATTTTTATACTAAATAATGTTTTAAAAAGCAGTACAAAAGTTGTCCAAAACAAAATCATAATTGATCTAAATTAATGTTCCTAAAAAAACTGCATCATCGCTTTCACTTGAATACATCTAGTGTTGTGATTAAGTTGAGCTGAGCTCGAGTCACCTCTAGCTTAAGCTTAAGCTTGATTAATTAATCGAGTTTGAGAAATAAAATAGAGAAAATAATAATTATGATTCAAGTCATTATTATAATAAATTATTTAAAAAATAGAAGATAAATAAACAAAACCCCATAAAAGAGGATTTACATACAAATCATTTTATTTCATGCTATTTACATATCTAATACCTAAAACTTTAATAATATTACATTCCTACCATAATATAAACTTTTAATATCAAATATATCACTCATATATTTCATTCTTACCACCCATACCATCCTATAAACTTTAATATTTCATTTCATGCAATCATATTTATTCTATGGGTGATAGACATGTAATATTAAAATTTTATGTATTAGATATGTAAATAACATTAAATAAAGTGATATTTTTTCATATGCTTTGATATATATAAATAAAATAATTTTGAGCGCTGTGTAAATACCGTTGAATGCAACCTTCCCTGTGGTTTTCACAGGTGATAACTCCGTCGCAAGCCTACGCGGCTATCGACCTCCCCATCCTGTGTCTTCTATTCGGCACCATGGTGGTCTCCATCTACCTCGAGAAAGCCCACATGTTCCGCTACCTCGGCCGGCTTCTCTCCTGGAAATCCTTCGGCGGCCGTGACCTTCTCGTCCGCGTATGCCTCATCTCCGCCCTCGCGAGCGCCCTCTTCACCAACGACACTACCTGCATTGTTCTCACCGAATTCGTTCTCAAGTTCACGAAGCAGCATAACCTCCCTCCATTACCTTTTCTTCTGGCTCTCGCCTCCAGCGCCAATATTGGGTCCTCGGCCACGCCCATCGGCAATCCGCAGAATCTCGTCATCGCCATCCAGAGCAAGATTCACTTCGGCAAATTCCTCCTCGGCATACTTCCGGCGATGCTTGTAGGTATGGTTATTAATCCACCCCGTCTCCAGCTTTAGAGTGATAAAAATCCGAGTTTGAGCTGTCAAGCTGTGTCTCCAAATCCGAGAAAAAAAAGCTCTATTTTAATCTGCTCGTTTTGAAGTTGAAGCTTTTATATTTTTGAATTTCTTCAAGCTGATCTCCTGAATCAGCTAATTTTCAAGATAGATAAGCAATAAATTAAATCAAGTGATCTTCGAGCTAAAGTACTTTAGTTACAAACTTATCGTAGGTATCGTCGTCAACACAGTTATCATCCTTTGCATGTTCTGGCGAAGCTTGTCATCCCCAAGCAAGGACGTGGAATCATTGAAGCCTTCTCCAACGCCGCCAGCGGAGGCGGCGGCAGAGATGTCTTCACACAAATTCTCGCCGGCGAAAATGTCTCACATGTCGACACCGGAGGTGGTGGATGATGGAGAAGGCTCGCATAGGTTTTCGCCTGCGATGATGTCGCACCCGCCGGTGGAGTTGGGGCCGGAGGGCAGCATGATTGGCGACGTGGAGAAAGCGGGCAAATTGGGAGCGGTGCCGGCTGTAATTGATGAGGTGGTGGAGGAGAAGGAGAGGAAGGGGAGGAAGAGGGCGTTGTTTTTGAAGGGGAGTGTCTATGTGGTGACCGTTGGAATGTTGGCGGCGTTATTGTCGGGCTTGGATATGTCCTGGACGGCGATTACGGCGGCCATTTTGCTGGTCGTGATTGATTTCAGAGATGCTGGGCCTTGCTTGGAGAAGGTAATTAATTAACTAATTAATCATTGTAATTGTTATTTAAATCTCTGTAAACATTTCTTTTATGAGAGAATATAGTAATCTACTTATCTTATTTAAATTTATGTTTTAGGTGTCGTATTCCTTGCTTATATTCTTCTGTGGGATGTTCATCACTGTGGATGGGTTCAACAAAACTGGCATACCGAGTGCTTTTTGGGATCTAATGGAGCCTTCAGCCAGGGTTAATCGAGCAAGTGGAGTTGCTTTGCTCTCCATTGTCATTCTTCTTCTCTCAAACTTTGCATCCAATGTCCCCACTGGTAAGATTTTATTGCATATAGCCATAGATAATAGTGTAATTAAATGTGCTTTGTACAATTGTACTGATGTAAGGATAAAAACTTCAAGCACAATTCAAATGAAAAAAAAGAACACACTGTTGCTTAGTTTGGTTGGTGGGCGAGTAGGGTTGGAGGTTCCCAACCCGTATTCGATTCCCTTCGAGCGACAACACCTTTTTAGTGGGGCTCAATCAAGTGCGGGTCAGGAGATTTCTGGGATGAGTGCCTCTTCTAGGTCAGCCGACGATTAGTCACGCCGCCATGCGCCTTTTCGGAGGTTGCAGCAGGTGGATATCCAGTTCCCAAAAAAAGAGAATAAATACAACTAAGATCATGAATACAAAACATACAAGTTTACATGATTTGATGAGATCAACTTATGTCGACAATCACATTGATATCAGAATCCACTGGACTTTTAAAGATGGATAATTCAAAGATTTCTATTCATATTAAGTTGAAATTAGGGATAGAAAAGAAACTTTCTTTAGATTAATGGCTGAAATAGAGCACAACCATCAATTAAATATGAAGAAGAAGATGTCTTTGTTATTATTAATTTCCTAACTTTGGTGTCTTAGGAGTCTAAACAAAATTTTATCCCTGATATAAATGGAAACTCCTCCTTTTGATGCAACCAAAATTAGCAGCACATTCTTCTACTTAAGAAGTAGAAGGTTTCCCTCATGCAAGCACCTTAAAAACTCACCCTTTCTATGTTGATTGACAAATCTTCTCTACTCTCTCTTGAAAATATGAGGAATATTACATAATTATGTAATAGAATAATATTGTTTATTATGTTTTCCTTTGACATAAAGTCAATTATCAGTTTTGTATTTGTAGAATTTATTTTTATGCATAAAACCAATAATTTTTTGATACCATAATGAGATGCTTTTTTCAATTCATTAAGCTTTCTATTTTGCATGCACATAAGGCATTTTTTTCAAGTTTAATAAGGCCTTCATGTCGAAAAATTATTGTGTCCGGACTCGATACTGAGCATACCGAGTGATACCGAGCGCGGTACTGAGCGCCCAGCGACGTGGCACTTTTTTATTGGCCTCTCGATGCGTTCAGTATCCGGACACAATAATTACTCCTACATGTCACAATAAAGAAAATTTGTCTTGAAATCCATTTATTTGAGGTAAATTTTTTGGCGCTATGATGCTCAATACTAAGGCTTCGTTTGGGACGGCTTTCTTACTGCTTCCTAAAGAAGTTTTCTAGTACAAAAATTATAAAAAAATTAATTTTTGCACTAACAAGCTGCTTTAAGAAGCAGTAAGAAAGCCGTCCCAAACGAGGCTCAAATTAATAACATTAGTTTAACTAGAGGAAAGAATATCTCGATAAAGCTTTTATTTTTTTCTATTGGAATCCTTGCACAAAAAATCTTGTCCTGTATTTTTGGTTTCTATCTATTTATTTTTCACTTTTTATATCCATCTATTTTCTTTGATGTCTTCCCTTGGTTCAATTATCCTCATATATCTTAATGTGCATCAACTTTTGACCATCAAACTTGTTTATTTGATCTTAATATTCTTTGTGTTCGAATCTAAAAGCTTTCAAGACTAAATCTATGATGCTAGTTGTTAGGATAGTGATAAAGATTTGAGTAAAAACTAAATAAAGCTAAGAAAATAAGCACTCTAGAGATTATAAATACAAAATACTTAAGTTTATGATGTTTAGTGTTAGTATCATATATTTACACCCACACAAATGTCAAATACTCCACTGTGCTTCAAAAGAGAGGAACAATATCAATTTTTCATCTTATAAATTTGAATATAAAGAGAAAAATGTCGTTTTTTTATGCTGTGATTGGGAGGGAACATAGTCTCATGGTGTAAGATGAGAGTTAAATGTAAAAAGAAAAATGTTGTTGTTATTACTCTCATCTTTTTTTCTATTGCTAGAGTCCAAATGAGAAAAAAATATTACGTGTGGTGTCTGGATGTGTCAGGAGGCCAATCCGGACGCGCTACATCACTCAATGCACAGTGCATTAGATGATGTAGCACATCTGATTGAAGATGTAAAAGACATCCCTCCTGCAAACACCTAAAAACTATTCCCTTCTCTCTCAGATGGTAGCCCTACTCACCTTTCTCACTTATTTTCTCTCTATTTATTTATATTTATAATATATCAAACCCTTTATTCTACTGTTCTATTTTGAAATGGTAGCAAATAATGGAATTTGAATAAATTGGTTTTATGTGAGAATTTTACAGGTACTCTTAAAATTAGCAAAACTATTCATAACCAACAAATATAGTTTAACCAAATCCTTGAAAATCTCCATTCAGGTTTTGAACAGTGCGATGCTAATATTGGTATCGCACGGTTTACAAACGCTTGAAAAAATAGAGAAAAAATATACACATAATATTCTCTTTTAATGTTAGAAATGGAGTTCAGTTGAAAATAAATTACTATTTGATCTGTCCTTTACTGTATTTTGAAGTGAAAAGTAAGTTTTTCCGTTGGAGATGCCCTAAAGATAGGACCAAGAACTTTGTCTCTACATAATTAACATTTTTTATTGGTTTAAATGAGGGCTTCTTGGTCATAGAACAACCCACCAACCTACTGAAATATTTATATGCACCCATATCTACTTGCGCACATTTATAAATCTCAATGCATCAATGAACGAATGACAAATTTCTTGCTTTTATGCAATGTTAATCGCCTATGCTCAACATCACCTGCAGTTCTCTTGCTGGGAGCTCAGGTGGCCAAATCAGCTGCAGCAGTTTCTGCATCAGATGTAGACAAGGCTTGGCTTATACTTGCTTGGGTGAGCACTGTAGCTGGAAATTTCTCTCTACTGGGCTCAGCTGCCAATTTGATCGTCTGCGAACAGGCTCGACGGTCCGAACAACACGGATACAATCTCACATTTTGGAAGCACCTTTATTTCGGGCTCCCGTCGACGCTCATCGTCACCGCCATCGGCCTCCCTCTCATTAGAGGATAGATTTTTCATTAGAAGATATCATGCAGTTGTGTTATATATGTAGCTTGTTAGCTTTGCCCTTCTGATTAGTAAGTTGTGTTGTTTACTTATGCTTTGTTAGTTGAAATCTTATATAAGAGGTTTGTAATGAAGCAATAATCCATGCTTATTGATCTAAACTTGATTGGTTTAGTTCAATTCATTGAAGGGTCGCATCCTTTTTGAATTTAAATCGTTAAATCAGTCGATATTTGTACTGAATTCTTGATAAGAATGTAGTGTACAATACTACTGGAATTTTGAAATCTCAGGATTGAGACATTATTTTGTGCGGCATCGGTTTTCTCTGACTATAATAAAAATGCAGTGAGCTGCACTTTTACTGTAGATAGAGAGAAAACTGAATGGTTCTATCCATCCGGTGTCCGCACATAATAATCTCTCCAGGATTGAAGGCCTTATTCCTAACATCAGAATTTTCAATAAATTTTCTTTGCTACAACAAAGCTACAACTCCATGTACATAAACAAATTATAATTGTTTTTAGGGGAGCCTTTAAAATCACCACAAAATCATTCAGAATTTATTTTTCAGATATTTAACATTACAGACTTTCCACACTTCTGCTGATAGACAGATCATCAATATCCAAAATGCTATTTGTATTTGGTAAAGCACAGTAAGAGATGGACCAATGCAAGCCAAACCGAAAGCCTGAACGTTCGTTTGCCTCGCTTAAGAATTTTCGCATCTATTGAGGGTATCATAATTACATCCATTGATGATGTTGACACTGAAATCCCAAAGCTTTTTCGCCATTTCTCTGTCTGTAGCAATAGTGTTGAGCTTTGCTGAATTACAATCTTCAAAATATTTACCACTGACTCCCTTTACTTGAGGATGCAGAGCCACATAACAAGAAGTTGCTGCCCCCTGCAATAAAATAAAAAGAAACAATGTCATTTCTGTATAGCTAAAGGTGGTCTGGTTCAAGTTAAGCCAACTTGGTATCGACTCAAAAGAAACTCACTAAGTCTACAAATGAACTCGCACCAAAATAGGCGATTTACGATCTATGAACTTGTCCCTAGCAGGAAAGTATTGCTCATCTTCTGTCACGACCCGGCCCGGTTAGCTCGCAAGTGCGAGGCGGAACTCGCACCAAAATAGGCGATTTAAGATCTATGAACTTGTCCCTAGTAGGCAAGTATTGCTTATCTAGTCAACCCTAGCAAATATGACCTATAAAGGCGACCTTAGCGACTACGACTTTGTTCATATGGGAAATTGTTGATTGGCTATTGAGCTATTTGTCCACCTATATTCACCAAGCCAACAACTTCTTATTAACTTGACGAATGACTTCTTCAAATTATACATTCTAATTAGAATATATGATACTTGTTTTTTCCTCTTATTTTATGAATAGTTATATATAAAACCAATTCTGTAATGCACAAGCCGGACCTAAATATATAAATAGGGAATTAAAATATGAGTTCAGTTTACATAATTTTCTATACTCAAGGTCATTTAGCATAAATCTTTGAGTTTGTCAGTTAAGAATTTTTTTTCTCTCTATTTCTCTGCTCTCTTTTTTTTTTTTAATATTCTCAGCATAATTTGGTGTGATTTATGGATGATTTTGAATTAAACATCAAGTGCGGTGAGCATGAATATTTGCTTGTAAATGTTTGCCCACCACCTACTTGCAAATAGTCCTCAATACTTATATATTTCTTTTATTTTTGAATAGTCATGTATGAAGCTAATTCTGTAATGCAAAAATCTGACCCAAATTTATAAATAGGGGATTAAAATGTGAGCTCAGTTTACACGCTTTTTTATGCTCAACCTCATTTTTCATAAATCTATGAGTTTTTTAGTTAAGAATTTGTTGTGAATTCTTGGAGGAAGAGTATTCTAGAAATTGAAGGAATTGAATCGACCACCAATTCTTCTTGTTCTTGGACAACAACACCGAGGGAGAGGAGAGGGAGAATAGAGAGCACACGGAGTTTGGAAGAAAAACAGAACTCTCAAAATATTATTGCTTCTCACCCCTATTTATACCAAAAACAACCTAACGGGCAAAACAATAAAACTAAAACTTACATACAAATTGGACCAAATACTAGCAATCTCCACCTTGGTTCAATTTTACAAAGTATTAATAGAAAAAAATGTGACCCTTACAATAGCATTGAATCTATATCCATTCATCTCCTAAATGTGTTGTTGATGCAACCAACACATATGTTGAATCGTATCCATTTGAATCTGCTTCCATTGCTCAGTTTGGTCTTCTTTGAGCCCAATTCCATGTAATTTCACTCTATCCAGGAAATTCCTCTTGAAATGCCCATCTTTATGGCAATGATAGCACTTCTTGGATGTCTCCAACTTCATTTGAGATCATCCATGATAGCTTTTATTAGATCTTTGATCTTCTCTTCCTCTTACGAATAGGATATCTCCATTCCTCATTCAGATTTGCGCTAAATTTGTTTTGACATCAGCACTAATTTTACCTCAGTCATCGTCTAGATCTGCTTTCCATATATCATCGTATCTAGTATACCTTCATAAGACTTTGGCAATGAACTTAGAAGAATAATTCTTTAGTTTTCCTCTTCAATCTTCATATCTGCGCACTTAAGATCTAGAATGATCTTATTAAAATCATTCACATGCTTCCTCAGATCCTTAGACTCATCCATTTGCATCATGTACAACTACTTCTTCAAGAATAGTCGATTAACGAGTGATCTCTTCAAGCTTCTCTCCCAGACCTCCACCGCTAAATCTTCCTACGCCACTTCTCTTAATACTTCATCGCCAAGCGAAAGAAGTATCACACTGTGAGCTTTTAACTGAATTTCCCTTGCTTTTGCTTTGTTTCCTATAGCCGCTAGACTTTCCAGCAAAATCGCATCAGAAAATCTATGGTGAACTAGAAGAGCCTTAATCTTTATTCTCCACAAGCTAAAATCATTCTCACCATTGAATTTGTCGATCTCAAATCTTTGTATCGACATTATTTGGAGCAGTAGCTTCTTCCACTCTACCCATTGTTCACAAAGAACAACCCAATAAATGATTTCCTCGCTGATTTCCTCTTCTTCCTTCACCTGTTGTCCACAAAGAACAACCAAGAAAGTCCACCATCGAGCGATTTGCTTATCCTCCACCTATTGGCTCAAACCTACGCCTTCTGTGACGTCCTTGCTTTGCTTTCGATCTCGCATGAGTCTGTCTGCATGACCCGATTACGATCTCGTGAGTTCGCCTCCCGCACGGTTGACCTGCTTTCGCCCCCTTATACACACGACTTAACCCTGCACTTACCTGTTGCAATCCTGATGTCCGTCCGCCTGACTTCCGTGCACAACACATGCTTTCAACGAGGAGCGACTCGTGCTCGTGTTCTGACACCCACGTACAACTCCCGTCCAGTGGACTGTTCTTGATTACAAGAGACTTCCTCCTTAATCACCTCTACCAAGCTCTGATACCAATTACTGTGAATTCTTGGAGGAAGAGTAATCTAAAAATTGAAGGAATTGAATCCACCACCAATTCTTCTTAGGAGAGAAGAGGGGGAGAATAGAGAGCACATAGATTTTGGAAGAAAAAACAAAACTCTCAAAATATTATTATTTCTCAACCCTATTTATGCCAAAACAACCTAAATAGGCAAAACAGTAAAACTGAAACAAACATACAAATTAGACCAAACACTAACAAAATTCTCTCTCTCTCTCTCTATTTCTTTGCTCTCTTTTTTTTTTTTAATATTCTAAGCATAATTTGGTGTGATTCATGTGAAAGTTCACTGGAGGTTGTAAGATCTCATCAAACTATCCATAGGCACACCAAGAGGGGGCGGGGGTTGAATTGGTTGTTTTAAAAATTTCTTTAACATAAAATAATTTTTTGAGATTTTTCAATAACTTAAAACAAACAATATTATCGCCCGATGCAGAAGCAAATTAACGAAATAAAAATATAACAACGATGAAGATGAGTTACTCAAATCAATATATCATCAAACAAAAATTTTTCAACATGCAATTTTTGGAAAAATAAATCGCAGAAAAGTAAAATGCAGAAATTAAAAATCAAAATGAACATACCAGAATTTTATAGTGGTTTGGTTAAACAATGACTTACATCCACTCCATGGAGTTCTCTCCGTGTATTGCACTAAATCTTTAGTGTCTCTCCTTTAACCTCCACAGCTAGGCGGATAAACCCTTACAATCTTTTCACCAACCAGTGCGGTAAAGAATCTTAACCTCCTTTTTCATCATCCTGATGAAGACAGAGAACCTTACAATCCTTTTTCACCGTCCTGGTGAAGGCAAAGAACCTCGCAATCATTTTTTCACCCTCCTGGTGAAGGCAGAGCGCCTCAACGATCTTTGGGTTGAAGTTCTTATTCCTAGATCTACCCAAGAAACAAAGTAAGACACTTTGAGGAAACAAGGCAGAAGCTTGCTCGAAGTGTGAGGATATTCCACAGAGTTGCTCCTTTCTCCTTCCCAAAGCTCTCCAAGATCTCTCTCAAAGCTCTCTCTTCAAAAAACCCAACATCCAAAAGACTTGGAACAAGTCTATTAAGAGAGCTTACAAGGATTCACAAAAACCCTATTAATTCAATTCTGTCGACACAGATCGTACAGTACGATTAGTTCAAATAGCCATGTTAGTACTATACGAAGAATAAGATGTTATGCAACCAGTTACAGTATTTGAGCTGATAATCCAGTACGATATAAGGCATCACCCAATACAATTAGTTCAATCGAATTGGATCATCGTCCCGTACGATCGGTGGCGATTAATTATCATCTTGTGCAGAGATTGTGTCATGCATTATGATTGGTTCAATCATACAATATATATGATTGGATCAATTAATCCAAATTCGATCCACTAATTATAAGATTAGATAAGGCAAGATTTCATTATATCGTACAACATGATTAGTATAAATTTTGAATTTCAAAATATGATTGACGGTTGAGATCTTGATTTCTACTGATCGTCATGTGCGATATTAATCGTACAATACGATTAAAACATAAATAGTAATTATGCTAATTAGTTGTTATAATGATTTTCAAAATTGCTGATCTTCTAGTACGATATAGATCGTACAGTATGACTAGTTTAAAAAAAACAAGACTGTGTTTAAACGGTCACCAAGTTTAACATCCAAATCCAAATTAGGGTTTTGCCCTAATTTTCCTTCAAGATTTTGATACGCCTTAGGTTTCACAAATTAGGGTTTGCCCTAATTTTCCTTCAAGATGAAATTTCTCCTCCAAATCCAAGAAAAAATCAACACAAGAGGGATGAGAGTAAGAACAAGAACATTTGCATTCAAAATCCAAGAGAAATAAGATACAATTTGTCCACTTCGAGAAGGACAAGGTCTCCCACTACAAACCCTAGAAAAACAAGAGAAAGAAACTAAGGAGGCTAAGAGAAAACTCAAATCTTGCATGCCCTAGAAATCCCCCCTTAATCCCTACATATAGCAAGCAAAAGACCCCACCAAATCCACTAGTGGGCTGCCCAAGCTGAACCGCCCGGCTCAGGCTAGACCTGAGCCAAACCGGTCCAGAAATGGACCGGTTCCGCTCAAGCCGACCCCC